TCAGAGCGCTTCCCAGAGGCTAAGCCTTGGGACCATGCTATAGATTTGAAAGACACCTTCAAACCAAGGAAGGGACACATGATACCGCTCTCTGCTCCCGAAAGAGATGAGGTATCTAGTTTCATAGACGAACAACTTAGGAAGGGTTACATCAGACCTTCCAAAAGTCCTATGACGTCCCCGGTGTTCTTCATTCCTCAAAAGGATGGTAAAAAGCGAATGATTATGGACTATCGTTACGTGAATGAGCACACGGTTAAAAATGCGTATCCTCTGCCTTTGATTAGTCAGCTAGTGGACAAATTGGCTGGCGCCAAAATCCTGACAAAGATGGATCTCAGATGGGGGTACAACAATGTACGAATCAAAAAGGAAGATGCTTGGAAGGCCGCATTCACGTGCCACTGAGGATCTTTCGAACCCCTTGTTATGTTCTTTGGGTTGACCAATTCACCGGCAACCTTCCAGAGCATGATGAACGAGATCTTTGCGGATATGGAAAACTGTGTCGTCATTTACATTGACGATTTATTAATATTTACAAAGTCGGACGATGAGGCTGAGCATGACAGGATCGTGCAAGAAGTCCTTCGACGCTTACAGGAACGGGACCTATTCGTTAAACCCGAAAAATGTAATTTTAAAGTGAAGGAAGTAGACTTCCTCGGTATGATCATAGGCCAGAACGGAATCAGGATGAACCCTGAGAAAGTTCAAGCTATTTTGGAATGGCCAGAACCTACTCACGTCAAAGGAGTTAGGGCCTTCCTAGGCTTAGGTAATTTCTACCGAAGGTTTATTGAAGACTTCGCAAAAATCACGAGACCGTTGAATGATCTCACCAAAAAGGACCTTGTTTGGCATTGGGGCGCCAAAGAACAGGAAGCTTTTGATAAGCTTAAACAGGCATTCACAACAGCGCCCATATTGGCATTTCCAGAGTTAGACAAAGAGTTCCGGTTAGAAACCGACTCTTCTGACTTCGCCACTGGGGCTGTTTTATCGATCAAATGCCCTGATGATCTTTGGAGGCCTTGTGCCTATTTGTCGCATAGTTTGTCGCCTACAGAGCGTAACTATCAAATATAAGACAAGGAGATGCTGGCCATCATTAGAGCCTTAGAGCACTGGCGGCACTACTTAGAAGGTGCTAGGCACCAATTTGAAATTTGGACTGATCATAAGAATCTGGAGTATTTTATGACGGCCCGAGACTTGAACCGTAGACAGGCCCGCTATGCGGTGTACTTGTCAAGGTTTAATTATAAATTAATACATAAGCCTGGAAGCTCTATGGGGAAAGCAGACGCTTTATCCAGAAGAGAGGATCATGCCAACGGTATCAAAGATGACAACAAAGGTGTTACCCTGATAGATCAATCAAGGGTTGCCAATGTTAGAATCAGGCAAGATTCCGCTCTCCTGGAAGTCTTCAGGAAAGACATCTCCCCAGAAGAAAAGGCGCGCCTTGACAGCAATGAAAACTATTTATGGAAAGACGAGCTCTTTCATTTCAAAAACAAAATCTATGTGCCTGAGTCCGCAAGGATCAAGGCAATAGATAGACATCATGACACTCCAGTGGCTGGGCACCCTGGATGGCAACAAACGATGGAGTTGATCTCCAGAAACTACATGTGGCCGGGCATGGTCAAAGACGTACAGGAATACGTAAAATCCTGTCTGAGATGCGCCATGGCCAAGAATTCCCATCAACCGCCGGCGGGTAAACTCATGCCGAACCCGATACCAGCTGGCCCCTGGCAGGATATATCGGTGGACTTCACGACGGATCTGCCCGAGTCAAACGGGTACAATTCAGTAATGGTGGTAGTAGACCGCTTCTCCAAAGAAGTGGTATTCATACCCACCAACAAAACCATCACCGCCGCCGGTACGGCAGACCTATTTAAGGATTTCGTATGGTCCATCCATGGGTTACCAGAAACGGTAATCTCCGATAGAGGACCACAATTCGCTAGCGAGTTTACGAAAGAATTGTGCCGGATGCTGGGCATCAAACCTAAATTATCCACGGCGTTCCATCCGCAAACCGATGGACAAACGGAGAGACTCAACCAGGAGTTGAAACAGTATCTCCGGATATTTATTAACGACAGACAGACAGATTGGGCCAAGTGGCTAAAAATAGCCCAGTTCTCTTATAATATTAAACAGTCGTCGGCTACAGGAAAGGCACCATTCGAGGTTACTAGATCGTACCTCCCCAGAATGGGTGTAGAACCTGGCAAAAGCAAAAACGAGGCTGCTGGAAACATGGCAAAAGACATGAAGTCTGTCTTGGACGAAACGCGCAAAGCGCTATTTAAAACTGCGGAGCAGATGAAAGACAGGGCAGAGCGTAGACACTCTAAGGCCCCTGATTACAAGGTCGGCGACCTGGTCTGGTTAGACACCGACCACTTAAAATTAAAAGACCGGCAGTCTAGAAAACTGACCGAAAAGTGGATTGGCCCTTACCGGATTAAGGAAGTCAAACCTAATGCGGTGGAGCTGGAACTCCCAAAACGAATGAGGGTGGTACCCACGGTTAACATTAGCCGTGTGAAACCCTACAAAGGACCGCTGCCGGGACAGCGCGTAGACCGGCCCGGTCCGGTGGTAGTCACCCAAGAAGGTGAAGAAGAGTTCAAAGTCGAACAAGTGGTAGATGCACGCTTGAAGCGGGGAAAATTAGAGTTCCTGGTCCTATGGAAGGGCTATGGAGACGAGGACAGAACGTGGGAACCAGAATCCCATCTGGAAAACTCCCGCGGTGCTGTTCGCAAATTTTATTCTAGGAATCCCTCAGCTCCCAGGAAGCTTAGAGGCATTGATTCAAACCTTTTTAATTCCCTCTTTCAACCTATGCCCGAAAATTTTACCACTACCTCCGGAATTTGGTCTCACCTGGAAGTCGAGCCTTAGAAGGGGGGTAGTGTTACGATAACACAATTTCCAGACATCTCCTTTCCTTTTTATTCTCCGCTTTAACTTTATACTTTAAGTACCACGCGGCATTTCCCTTTCTCGCGCCGCGTTGCCTTTCTTTTACTTTTAGACTTAACTCTCTCACGCAGTGGAGCTGGCCATACGGGCTAGACCCTATGACATCATCAGCCACTGCCTTCATCAACTGTATAGTACACATGTACAAACAACCTGTAGTAGTATATATACCCCAATAGATCCAGGAGACTCCTCAGCGAGTCCTCCTGTTGTATACCAACTAACTCACTGCAGCCCAAGGGGTACCCACTCCCCATCTTCCACTACCTTTATAGTGTGTTCCTGTGTGCGCCAGAGTAACTAACTCTTGGTTGTTACATCCATACCAATGCAGTATATAACACTGTCCCCCACTTCTAAAAAAAGTAAAACCTATCACATCAAAACCTGTGTTCTGGATCAAGTTCAATCAAAACAGAAACATTGAGAGATACAACTCCAGATTGTTGCACAAGGTTTTACTCAAAGGGAGGGGATTGATTACCAGGAGGTTGTTGCTCCGGTTGCAAACTTAGAGTCAACCAGATTATTCTAGCCCTGGCAGCAAAATATGACCTAGAACTCAATGAAGAACTTGAGGAAGAACTATACATGTTTTCTCCAGGGGGTGCTCCTATCCAACCTGGATACTGCTGGAGGTTGAATAGATCCATCTATAGATTAAAATAAGCTTGTTATACATGGAACAAAGCCTTTGGTTGCAAGCTCCAGGAGCTCAGTTTCACAAGACTAAATGCAGAAATATGTTTCTATGTATTCCGGAACAACAAACAAATATGCTTTGTTGTTGTCTATGTAGATGATCTCATTGTAGGAGCTTCATCTTGAAAACTCATGGATATCCCAAAAGCCAAACTTGAATCCATATTCAAAATGTGGGACCTTGGAGAAGCAAAGTACATCATCAGAATAGAAATCCCATGTGATTATTCAAACAAAACAACTTCCCTCTTGCAATGTCAATACATTGACAGTCTTGGAGTATGCTGGAATAAAGAACTGCAAGCCAGTATGGACATCAATGGCCCATGGATTGCAAATGCTCCAGGGGAAGATATTGCTCAATACAAGATGCATACTGAAGGGTGTCAAGTGTCATATCTCTCAATTATAGATTTCCACATTACCTATGTTGTTGGAATGCTAAGTAGACACAGCTCAGCTCTGAGGAGCCACCACTGGGAAGCTGCCAAATATGTTCTCCAATATCTGAAAGTAAACAGGGACATGGAACTACATTATGATGGCATAGATGTCTCCATGGACATGGATTTATATGGATATTCAGATGTGGATTGGTCTGGAACCCCAGATATGTCCCGATCAGCATCAGGTTTTGTTTTTATCACCATCCAAGGAGCAATCTCCTGGACAAGCAAAAGACAAAGCATGGTAGCTTTATCCTCCATGGAGTCAGAGTACATTAGACTGAGCAATGCTGGACAACACCTTGCATGGCTTCAGACATTTTTTGAAGAGATTTGACATGCTCAAAATGGACATACAATGTTGCACTGTGACAATCAAGCAGCTATCATTCTTACACAAGATCCACAGTTCCATGCTCACACAAAACATGTTCAACAAAAATATCATTTCGTCAGAGATGACTTAGTATCAAAGGGAGAGGCAGTAATCAAGTATGTGCCTACAGGAGATATGGTTGCCAACATCCTCACTAAACCCCTCACTCATGAAAAGCTTTGAATTCCCCAAAGCCATGGAACTACAGTTGCACTCAAGTGGGAGTGACAAAGCCAGATAAACCTGGTCTCAGCTAAAGCTGCTAAACAGCCATTGTTCTCCTAAGACTCATTGTACCTTAGTGAGTAGTACCTCCAACTATAAGTAGTAGGGGGCTTAGTATAGGAATACCTCAGTTGTTTCTATAGCCTCTCAGGCAGCAGCTGAGTTCCACTTAGTTTTATTACTTTCATGTGGAAAGTTCCTCTTTCAGCCATACAAATTTCAATCTTTCGTGTCACATATTATTTCTTCTCCCCAATAAACTCCTGCATTCAGTGATCACATTCTGAGAAGTGACAGCCAAAGACTACTTGCTACGCGTCTCGCTTCTCGGATTAACTTAGAATACCAACAAGGAAGACTAGGTTGAAACGTTGATTTAAAATATCATTTTTTCCAACGCATTCGACGAACATTTCAGAGCCAATTCTCCTCCCTGTGAAGTATATTATTCGATGCGGAGCCTCTCGGGTTTTGTGTCTCAGTTGTGGGCAATATATCTCAAGAGTATTAGCAAACACGCTGCGATCACGACACCAAGAATGATTGCATCTCTTCTCCGACGGAATTTGATCACGGACAAAAGATTGTTTACGCCAGGCATAGAATCTGGGTGAACGTGGATTGGGTATCATATTTGATATCAGAGGATAATGAGTAGAGTAACAGCTTACTTAAAACATTATTTATACGCCCCTTGATGCCAACCAAAGATACGCTCTGCTGCGAAAACTCGGCCCTGGTCTCAAAGACTTGCCTAGGAATGATGGTAAAAACAGAAACCGACATTCAGCTGAAATGAGCTCACTCGAGGATAGTATCTGTCATTTGATGAGAACTGTCAAGTCTACCACGCTCGGCGAGTAATGAATCTGCAGCCGACGACTTATAAGCTCTGAATAACCAAACCAGTGATAAGTGAAGTTCAGTGGGATTGAGGGTCATTTACTTACTCAATATCGTGCCTTACACCGCTGAGTAAATTAGCTTGGTCGAGTGCATATTTGACATTTGTCTAATCAAGGATAAGCCCCGATTTCTAGAGTTAAAAGATACTGCGCGCCTTCGTTCGGTGCAGTTCGCGTGAATAGTCCCGGTAAACATCTCTATGTCTCTGAATTGCTCTTGACATGGACTGAGAAGGCGGCATATTAGGATCGCTGGTGACCGCTGCGAGCTGCTCGTTGGTCACTCGCAACTGAAAAGTATGATAAGAATTCGTATAAGCAACTAATAACATTGTACCTACCTTTTCCAGAAAATCGTCAACCTCGACTTCAAGGTCTTTCCATTGTTCTCCAGACCCTTCAGCTTCAAGGTCATACGCATTTCTTCCGATTGCTAAAGCCAGCCGCGAGTAAGATGTCAATTTTACATCGAATAACGATTCCAATATCCTGCATTGTCTATGTAAAGAGTCAAATGTTGTCATGATTGTCGTTGGTAATCTCAGAGTTCTTGCGGGAAATTTACAGTGAAATTAGCATGTAACATTGTGGCGAGCTACAACAGGATCAAGCGGAGATTCAGGTTAATGCAACTCCGGGAAAGTGAGAAGTCGGACATACACGGCTACGCTCAAGTCATGTTTGACGAAACACGTTGGTCATATATCAGCAATAAGCCCAGTTAGCCGCTTGGTAATGTCGCAAATTCTGGCTTGGCATTGGTTGCAATGTATTGTGTTGGAATACCGAGAGCCAATTGCAATACTACCAGATATTCAACATGTGGCTCGTATCCTTGTCTTATATACTCGCTAGTTCTTTCGTTTGTTTTTCCCCTTCAGTTGATTATGATCTACTGAAGGGTATGTTACAGTTCTTCTTTATTATCATTCAGTTACTTATTCATATGTTCATTATAGTGCTGATAGAACCTAGTTCTTAAATATTGTAATATCTAAATAGAGCCGGTGCCTTTGAATAAAATTACAATCAAAGCCCCCAATTGCAATCATGATTAGCCCTGTTCAAGGTCCATTTCTAGGAGGGGGAGAAGCAAGTAACCAAATTTTGTCATCTTGGTGACCACACCTAGCCAATGGCAAACATGTAAATTACATAGAAATGCTGTACCAAAAAAATGAGTATACCATGAAGCTGGACATGAAAACCATGAGTTGTGAGCTATATATGAACAAGCCAAACGCACCTCAAAACGTCAACATGTCTTGCCACCAGCCCACTATCTGTCAGCGTTATCTCAAGGAACTTGACGCCACATTCATGGATTTCCTTCAGCAGCTAATCCACAGGCTGGTCACTGTTACCGACCATTCTGAAGATGAGTCACATGATGGGTCACCACCAAGCAATCTGCTTTCTCTTGTCCATTCAGATTCTCCCATGTCAGATAAGTTAGTAGTCTCCCTCTGACTAAATATATTTTGGTATGTACTAATACCTTGTAAAAATGGAAGGTACATCATCTGCCTTGCAGGCAGAAGTAGTTGTACATCCCAAAGCACATCAAATGTAAATATTGATGACAGAATATCTCCATTTACAAGACCAGGTGCAACGTACAAGAGTATTTACAATGTACCCACAAGCACCTCGTCTATTGCACTTCCCTCTTAGGGAGTGGTCACATCTTTACAATCCAACACATTTCCAACATATTAATCGATGTTGGCCAGAAACTTTTGATGGTATAATTCTAATACACCACAAACTCCTATTGAACATCAACTCTCCATGTTTTTGAACCATTTAGGCCACTATGGAAATGGATTTACACCTGCTGATATTGCTGACTGGGCAGGTCTCTCTGTTGGCACAGTGGTGAATAGCACCAATGGGTGTGTGATTGCTATCCTCTCATTGCATGATGAGGTTGTTGGTCCCCCTACTTGAGAGGAGAAGGATGCTGCCAAATTGTGGGTGGAGAATCAAGTTTGTGCAGAATCGAGAAATGGGTGTTTGACAGTTGACGGTACCAACATTTGTCTTTTCCAAAAACAAGCCACTTTGGAGAGACATTCTTTGATAGGAAATCCCACTACTCTTTGGATTGCCAGGTGATTTATATTACTTCTGAATTATGGAAGTGATCTGAACTTTCCCCAGGCTATTATTTTTCCCCATAATCTCAAGATCATAGATTATGGTCTAGGGCATATAGGAAACACTCATAATTCCTCTGCCTTCCAAGACACTCTGACATCATAGAACCATAAAGACTTTCTGAACAAAGATGAATGGATCTGGGCAGATTCTGCATACCCTATCACATCTTGGTGTGTAGCAGCCACCAGGTTGTAGCCTCACTACAAGGCAATCCCAATTTAACTACCATTTATCACGTGTCTGTTTTACACAGCTTGTCATCCAACTTCAGGCCTCTAACCTCCTTCACGAGAGCTTGGTTATGAAGTAGAAATTCTTCAGGGACCTGTTAATACCATAAATTAGATAGTGTACATGTTGATATTGTAGAGTATAAATATTACCACAAATAGCTCCTCTTTAGTTGCTTGAGTACCAGGGAGCAATGGGCCGGCACCAGGGTTTATGATATCAGGCTTGGAATCTAGCTCTGAGTCAGACATTAATAATGAGTGGAGAAGAGCAAAGTGAGAATCCTTACCATTTTATAGTGAGAACAATGTCAGTGGTTCAGAAAAGAATCATTGACAAAACACTGCAAACACATTGCAGCAATGCTTGGAACATGTTGTAGGTATTTAAATTGACAGCTGCTGGGGCAGCACATTGACACATTGAAACAACATATCATTTCTGATGTACATTGAATTATTTAATTAGCAAGGTGACTAAATGAAATAGAGATAGTATTACCTATCAGACTTGAGTGCATTTATTTCCCATGAAAGAATAAATAATTATTGTTCTTGGTGTAAAAGAAGTTAGCCTGCAATAATACAGATGTGTTGTCAGTGGATGTAGTTCAAAAGCCAGAGAAGTTGAACCATGCCAAGGCTATTCCAACGTGATTAATTGAATTGTGATAGATGAAATTGGGGAACAACTGTGAAGAGAGTACATAAGTATTAAATATAATATTATGCCCTTATAGCACACTAAACAAGTGTTAATGGAGGAGCATGGTGTAACAACCAAAGTTTTGATACTCTGGTGCACAACTCAGACAGGCAAGAGTGAGGATGGTAGGAGTGGGTAAACCCCTTGTAATAGGACCAAGTTAGTTGTGGATATACAAGAGAAGGATTCACTGAGAAATCTCCTGGATTTATTGGGGTTTATATACTAATACAGTTTGTTTATACATGTGTACTGTACAGTTGATGGAGGCAGTGGCTGATGATGTCATGGGACACAACCCGTGTGGCCAGCTCCACTGCCTGAGATATTTGTATCTAAACATAGAAAAGGCAGCGTAGCACGAGAAGTGGAGTTTGAACAATAATGGAAAGTGTCGCATGGCACCGCATGGCACAGGGTGTGAAAACTACAAAAGAAAGTTGAAGAGGAGAATAAAATTTAAAGGTCCAAAAATTGTGTTATTGTAACATATTGTAGAAGTTAGGACTACAGTGCAGATAGTCAGTGTACTGGCGCCAGTCAACCAATGACTCAAAGTTGATGGTCACGGGCTGGTATTCTTGGAGTAATATTTGAGATAATGGGACATACCTGGGGATGGTTCCCGGACACTGGATTTGCACTGGAGAGTTGGCATTTGCAACATTTCTGGTGTTTGAGTGTAAAAAATACAAGTCCAACTTTTATTATGTGCATTTTTCTCAAAATTCCCACAGGCACAATATGTGGCACCAAATCCATGTATAACATGTCTGAACCCTTTAACATCTCAGTCACTCAGACAGTACTACCCTAAACCACACTTTTATCACATCCCCAACCAAAAACACCACTTCCAATGTCTTTTTCCACCCAAAAAAAGATCTACAAAGCCAAAGAGCATGTCAGGAAGGCCGTTATGTACTGGCCCTTGGTTTTTGTCCAAGACATGGACCAGTATGTGGAGATGCTGAGGGAGGAAGTAGTGAGTGGGACAGACACAATAAGGGAGGGAAACAATGCTGGGCATAACTTCCACATCCCCCAGCTCTTTCTGAGTGCCATCACACAGTTTGGCAGAGGAGAGAACAAGGGAAGGGCTGTGGATCCCTCCATGATTAGCTGGAAATATGAGACAGTGGAGGAATCCGTCTGGTTTGATCCCAGGAGACAGACACCTGAGAGGAGGGATGCTCTGGACAACAGGTGGTGGTTGCAAAGTAAGTTTTTTTTCATCCTTTTTCAATTACTTACTGACTGTGTCTTTTCACAGTGGTTCCACCTTGTCCTTGTACTTTTGCCACCATGCCCATCAAACCAGCACGTTTCAAAAGCCCCCCGGCACCCACCACTGGCAAAAGAAAGCGCAACCCTGCTCTCATGACAGTGGTTTTGTCAAAGAGGGAAAAGAGGGCAGCTCCGTCCAGGTGCTCCCCATCCCCACCCCCTGTTCCCAGGCTCTCAAGGCCATCTTGCCCCCAGCACACCTGTCCACACTCCGGGACTTCTAGTGGTCAGTGCCCAGACCCTGTAGCACCTTTAACCGGCAAAGAAAAGGGAAAGGGAAAGGTATTAAGAACAAAGCTTGAAGGAAGTGTCTAGCCACTTGCTGAGAGCAATCAGGGACTGGAACTAGAGTCCAATGTGAGTAACTGTATTATTAGAGAGTATGACAGGTATACAGTACCTAGAGTCCAATGTGAGTAACTAGAGAATAGAAAGCATTGGACTCTGCAGTACTGTCCGAAGTTTTGTAAACAAAGGTAAACAAAGCAGCCACAAAGGCGAAATAATAGAGAACACAATCAATAGTGAATGATAGAAGAATAGATAGAGAAAGGAATGAAAATATATAGGTAGCACAAAGGTGCAGAATCACCAAAACTAACAAAAGGTGGTGGTAGAGATTACCAGGGGTGTAGAGGATCTGCAGAGGAAGAGTATGGAGGAGGGGTGCAAGCAGTGCAGGCTGGACAAGTCTGCCTGCACCATCAGCAGGAGTAAGCAGACAAAGAAGTGGAGGACCTCCAGCAACAAGTGCAGGAGAAGTACTAGTACGTGTGGGACAATGATGCAAGTGTGGGGAGCAAGTCCCGGAAGCCCATAGCCTCAGAGCCAGAAGTGCCAAGGGCTCTGGTCACAGCTCCTGACCATCCTGTCAAGATTGGGCTGCCATAGGGAGCACGCAAGCTGTTCTACCAGCCCATGGAACAACTGGGACCCAATTCACAATCAGGGTCCCCCCACCTTCATGAGCAGTGATCCCTGCTCCTGCTCACCACACTCCCCCACCTGCTGCACCCCCTGCACCCCCCTTCCCCCTCCACAGGCGCAAGCTACATCCCAGGAGTCAAGAAGGCCTGCTTAGGTATCCCATAGAGAACCCAGGGAGATGGATGTGAATGCAATCCATCCTGGCCTTGGGTGGATTGCCAGGATGAGGGAGGCCACCCCCTCTCCTGCCAGGGAGGTTTTGGATGCTGTGGCAAGGCTGCCATTGCCATCCCCCAGCCCCCTTCCCATTTGTACCCAGGAGGCTGTTGACCCCCCCCCCCCCCGGACGTCACACTCTCTTGGTCCAACACTTTCTTCAATTTCCTGTCCCCACCTTTCCGTCCCACCCCTATTTCTCCTCCTGGCTCTCCCAACCTATTCAAGTGGGAAGAAACACCTTCCCGGAACCCCTTGTCTATCCCCCGGGCCTCCACCTTACTGGCTTTTTGAGGCCCAACAAGGGGATTTGCCTCAGCCACCAATGCCCCACACACCCCTAGGAGGTGAGGTCCCTATTGCTGTCACTCCTCAAAGTGATGGCCAGGACCTCATAGACTTCAGCTTTACATCCCCGGTTCCCAGCCACGTACAATGGTTGTCCCCAGCACAGCAGTGGAGTCCGCCTCCTTCCTTGGAAGAAAGGGTAGCAAGGATAGAATGAAGGCAAGGGATTATTGGGGATCTCTATGAGAGGATTAGCCAGTTGGAGGATAAGGTAGCAAGGTTGAAAGCAAAGGAGAGGGAGTACAATTAGAAGAAATCATAGTCCAATGAACTTGTAATATAAGTTTATTTATTTATTTTTTTTTTCAACTAGATTTTATTTTCTTATACTTAATTTCTCCTCACTCACCACTCAGTGTACATTTACTTACTTGATTCTTATAAATTTGAGCTACCCACATTACGATCTCAGTGTGATAATGTATTATAAGGATAAGTCTGAGAACTATACCCTAGGACCCATCAACATAGCCCGGCACCTGTCTAACTTCAACACATTGATAAGCTATCTGTAAGTGATACTTGGCAACATGGGAACATTGCCTGGGAACGGTTTATAGCAAAGTGATCTATGGATCATCTAACCCAAGATGACTACAACACTCACATCCCCGGGTACACATTTTAAACCCAGGGCCATTATATACATCTATTATATTACTGTACAAGAGGTTTACCTACTATTCAACGAATCCTGGGCTTCTTTACCTTTAGTGTCTGATCTACCTTGGTGTCCTTGGCTTGTTGAAGCCGCCCTGACCTTGTCCTGTGTGTAATGTTCCCAGGTTCCCCATCCATCTCCTCATGCCCAGGTTTGGTGGGGCTCTGCATCGCCCTTATCACTATCCTGGGTAGAGGCCTTGCCTTGTCAGGGAAGGCAAATTATAAGCTATTTTGTATTGCAGTGGTCATATCCCTGCAGAATGGGAGGATAGTTTTGCCCACCATGGCAAACTCAATATATGACCACGCTAGGTTATCATCCTCATCAGCAAATTGGATTGTATGAAGGTCCTGGAGCAGCATTCCTACCGTCAAACATATCAGGGCCATAGTAGTATGGCCCCTAATACCTGCGCGGCTGTCCCAGGACCCTGGGCAATGTAGATAAGTCTGCATGCAGAGCCACCTCAACAGGTATGGAGTTCCATTGCCTTGGTGAATCTCTAATGGAATCATGCTGTGGACATAGCCCTATGAGGCCCATGATGGCCAGTAGTCCAAGTAATCCTCTGGCTGGCCATTACTCTGGGAGCCGGGCCAGGCTTGTCCTTTGGTAGTTGGTACACTGCATCCACCAACTTCAGGTATTCCTCCTCAGTACATAACCTGGTGAGGAACTTTCTCTGAGTACAAGGATGGGATATCCGTTGTTGTTGAGTGGAAGCTTGATATTTTCTTTCTGCTTGCTTGATAGGCTCTCCTTTGGCACAGACCCCTCTAATATGCCTCAGTGGGTTGAGAATATTCAAAGGCCAAGCTGGTGGGTTCCTATTAAATTTAATGTCTAATTTTGATCTCATATCCAGCATGGCCCATTTTAGGTCAAACACTGGTATCCAGTTGATGCCAATGACAGCAGTTAACAGTAGAAGCAGTGAGAAGTGTTGTGACCGCAGTGGATCACAAGTAGCAGTGAGTAGTGAACTTGAGATTAGAGAAGAAGTCTGGATTGGTTTTCTTGTTCTTTTTTACAAGGTAAAATACAGGGGTTTATATAGTAAAAAGAAGGGAGGCTATGCACAGTATAGCTGTGCAAAAAGAATGAGAAAGAATATGAAGGAAGGAATATATGCTGACAAATCCTGTGTAAGTAGTACAGGATAAGATTGTCAAAATAAGGAAAAGAAAGGGATAGAACAATGAATGCTGTGTATGTAATGTCACAGGTTTGTACAGCTATAAAATAAAGTTCAATAATAATAATAAAAGCAAGAAAATCATGATGTCATAAAAATATGCAAAAGACTGACAAGGTAAAATTAACATCAGTATTAACACAGTTCCCTTGTTGTTAGTCAGGCATTCTAAAAAAATGTGTCCATAAAAATGATTCAAAAATCAAAAATAATCACACTGCAAATGAATGTTTTGCTGAACAAAAAAACTGAAGCCACCAGTCCACCACCTAGTCCAAATCCAACAGTTCCATGACTTTCTTTACCAATGGTCTGGTTGTAGTGGACCACCTGATCAAACAAGGGAGGGAGGGGAGTAGTTCCAATCTGGAATAGGTGTATCCCAGGCAGTGTATGATAACTGTAGCTGTAGTGAAGACAACGGATGAAGGATAAATGTACCCAAGCAAATGGGACAGCAATGTACATGGGCAACGCAAGAGGATAGACCTTTCCCAGCTCAAAAACTACCCACCTGCATTCCAGCCAGGCAAGACGAGCGACTGATGATTTAATAGTAGATGATGGCAGATTGATGTCATGAAGATGGAGTTATTGCCCAATTTGGACCGGCTGCTGGGGTTTTGCTGAAATTAGCAGTGGCATGTGGTTGTAATGACCAAGAGTTTGTTACTCTGGCGCACAACTCAGACAAGCAAGAGAAAAGAGAGAATGAGGGATCACCCCTCAGGTTTTAACGGGTTTGTTGTGCTAGACAACAGGAGGACTTGCTGAGTCCTTCCCCATGTATTACTCCTGTATATATACTAAAATACAAATACATGAGGTACTGTACAGTTGTAAATAAAGTTTCAAGTCCGATGTTTAGCATGTGACCGGTCACATAATGAGTCCAGACATTGGTCAGGTGTTGTGTCACATGACTTGGTCATGTGACTATGAAAAGTCGGAAATGTAAAGTAAAGTAAATGGTCACATGACTGGTCATGTGACTTGGAAAAATAAAAGTAAAAGTGCAAAAAGTGAAGTGTAAGTAGGTACTGGTACGTCAATTGTAACAGTGGTGGTCAATGGATTGGCAATAGAAGCGGGTAGAAAGCGGTAACATCAGGCGTGGTGGATGGGCAAAGAAGGCGAGTAGGAGGAGTGAAGAGGTGATAAAAAAGTGGATTAAGATGGGGATCCTCTGGTGAGAATAAAAAAGGCAGTAAAGGGCCCATGGTGGGGCTTAGTAAGGGAAGAAGGGTAAAGGGGAACAACAAAAGCAAGGGCATAATGTGTAGCCAGTGGCGACGCAAAAATTTGCCAAAATGCCGAAAGGTGGAAAGTACTGAATGGAAAGCAAGGGTGGGCACAACTTGATTGCCTAATAGAGGTGGTGCTGATCAGCCACAAGTTCAAAAAAGGCAATATTAATTACTATTCCACGTGGCATTGTGCCTGTATGGCGCAAAGGCGAGTCTTTTGAATATTTGATTCGTCATTAACACCTGTCCATGCTACCAATCAACTTTGGTGCATGATTCACTCCATTATCAAGGCCTACATATGTCTGGTGAGTAAGTATTCTTTCCCTTTACCACAAAGGCTAACCCATATTTTGCAAAGCAGCAACAGCCAATAGAATTGTTGAGCTGCCACCACCACTTTTATTATCCTCACCATCACCCAGTGAATATTTTCCAAAGACAGTATTATTGCAATAAATAACCTCATCGTATTTAAGGGTACTCACATTGAGTTCTAACTTTTTGAACTTGACTTTGAGCAGGTGATTGTATATGGCAAGGTACTATCTAATATCTGTTAATCGGATACGAGTACTCTTCTTGCGGGTTTTTACACAATTCTGGCACATTAGCTAAGGATACAAGACAATAGTGGCTGCTTTTACTGGTATATAAACTAGTATTCTGATGCTCACTTTTCAGTATGTCTGTCTACTTTCTCCTCACCCTTCCTATTCATTAGTCTTTAAACATAACTTTAGAAAGCTTTGATGGCTAGTTGCACACATTGTGCTAGGGGCAATAGCAGGGGACAGTCTTCTGGTACTAGGGCCCATGGTACTACTTGTACATCTCATATCTATGAAGACAGAGAATATATTGACGTTGAAAATGCTGGGGGCAGTGAACATTCTAAAGGTCACTTTGACGGTCAGGCTTCAGGTAACCTTTTTTATACTATAAATTTAACTATAATTATTTCTTTCTTAGTTCAACCTGGGGCACTATCAGTATAATGTTCCTTTGGAAGCTCTTTGATTCCCTCAATCCCAGCTTCAGTAGCCCCTTCACCTTCTGCAAATGATCCTAGTTGTGGCAGCGAAGAGTTGCCTGCTTATAAGAAAAAGAAAAGCCAGGAAGCCAAAGATATCAGCAAATTTTTTGATTGTAAGGTGGAATACCACTGGAGTGATGGTCCAGGTCTGGCTAACATCTGCAAGGCCTGCAAGTATGTATGTTATCCATTAGTTACTCCTTTATGTTGATTATTGTATTAGGGTGTCAGGAAAAACTCAAATATACGCTACTGGAACTAGTACAGGTACCATGTGTTGTCACCTTGCAAATGAACACTGGGATCATTGGCATCATAACTGTACCACAACTGAAGGGTGGTCACAATGTATCCAGAAGTATCTACCAACAGCAGAAAAAATCGTCAATCAGCTTGTAGCAGCTGGTTCTGTACCTTACAATGAACAAAACTTTTATAAAGCCCTAAGTAAATATATTGCTGTTACTCATCAGGTATTATATATGCATTCAATCCCCTTTATTAGTGGTTGTCTGTATCGCGCCACACACACATGTTGATCATGAGGGCCATCAAAAGGGTAATGACATGGGGGTTTCTCATGATCAGGGTCAATGTGGAGTTTTCAGCATACTTTGATCTTAGATACTGACTTTTAGGCTTGCTTTGTGGGCGCCCACAGATATTTGAGCTGTATATCCCACTATCAATGTCAAAATACAATCTTACTAGTGATCAAGGCCTTCAACTTCAAGTTTGTTTTTTTGAGAGGCCTTTCTGCTCCATCCAGTACATTAGGTCTGCTAGTACATCATTGCATGCAAATGCCTCATGTTAATGGAGTGGAAATGATTTCACTAGATCTTGGGGTCACTCAAATGTGGTACATGTACATATACCACTACATCTCTTGATCTAGAATATCTTTCACGGAAATGGCTGATGATATTGATGATAATAGCCAAGGACTTATGACCAATACACTTGTTTGAAGCATTCAAACAGGCTTCTAGATTTATAATGGATACAATATTAT